AATAGAACAGGTTTTGCTATCGCAAACCTGTAAACATGTTCATTTTGGTTTAACCAAGGCTGGTGACGTCAGTAGAGCGAGTCCACTCTATTGTGGGGGTGACAGTTTTTTTATAAGGGATTGGAAGCCACATGCACAAGGACGTCGTCTGATCAAGAACTTTATTGCTGGCCATTTTCGTCAGGTTAAACCTCTTTCGTACGATGTATGCTAACTTTTACATACATAGAACTTGTGCTATTTGCTAATATGCTAATGTTAACCTTATTTTGTGTGTTGTTTAACCGTTATAAGATCTTATAACGCTTAGCCTTGAATTCGAACTTCCACGAAAGCTTTGCAATATACATTGTGGCTCATTGAACATGTTGTAGCTATTGCAATCATCAGTTAAGCTTTCTGTAAGATATGATATTATTGTTATCGATATATCGTGTGTCCAAATCTCTCAAATCTAGCGTGTCAAAGGTGAAAGGTTCGGGGTCAACTCAAAACGGCGGGCGGTCAGAGTCAGAGAGGACCGAAGAACTCAAGAAGGTATGACAACGACAACAAAAATTTTAAGGTACAGGAATATAACGATGGATTGCACTTGAGTCCAGTTGTTGGTCAGCAAAACAAACTTTGTTAAGTTGTCTTCTGAGTAATTGTGTTTGGCTGGAAATGGATTTTTTTCTTGAGGTTTTATCCCATATGCCAGCGAACAACACTGTAGAACGTTGAACCTATAATCCATATAAATCCTAGCCTCCATAGCATGCCAAAAACTGGGGGTTTTGTGGGGGTCTTCAGGGTCTTTGGGAGCTTTTATGTGCTATTTTCTGATTGCATATAGACAACATAGCCAGCCTAGTTGAATTACTCCCTTTTTTATCAGAAAACAGCCGAAGACCGTCGACCACCAAACCCCGCAGTTCTATAAGCCTGTTATGGAGGCTACCAAGTTACTTTTCCTTAGAAGCTTCTATAAAGGCTTCCTTCCGTCTCAGTAGACGATGGGTTCAGTTCAGAGGGAGGCTTATAACTTTTAAAAAACTTACTGTTTGATTTTATTTGTAACTCCATTGAAAATTTATCCAGAGTGCCACACAGGGTCCTTGTCCCATGCACATGTCCTTGATCAGAGGAACCTCCATGAACTGATGGAGGAGAAAGAGGAGGAAGAGAAGGATGAAGAGGAGGGGACGGGTCCAGATGCGAGTAAGGGAAGACGGGATTTTGCCTTCGACAGGTGAGTTGATAGCACCTCCCAGGCTCCCAATTTACTAGTGAATTTTTTTATTCATAAATTTCTCCTCTGGTGTTCTCTTTCCCGGACTCCTTCACATGTTTAACTTCTGAGTTGCATTTATGTCATCATCATCATCATGCACTTTTGACAATTTCAGTTGACTTTGTGCACTTTTGACTCTTGTGTACTGATTATGTTACGTACAACTTTGTATTAAGTTCTTTAATTTCATTTGCTGTTTCCAGTCTGATCTTTTGATTTGGACTTGAATTCATTCATTCATTCATTCATTCATTCATTCATTCATTCATTCATTCATTCACTAGTATCAGTTTTTTGGTTTGTCATTTTTTGTTTAAAACGTAATTGCTTTCATGATATCTTGATACATCATTTACTTTGAAGTTTGAAGTGTCCAAGAACCAAGTAGATAAATTGGAAAGGCCCAAACTATGGCTTAAGTTGCTGGATATTAAAAACAAAATGAATGAAAAGCCTCCATAATGTGCAGTGATTTTCTTTATTGACTATAAGTTGAACCAAGCTTCACAAATAGACCTGCAAAAGGTGTAAACTAAGTGCTGTTTCAAGAATTTTTAAAAACATCCCTTACAGTTACATAAGAACTTATTCGAAAGATCTCTCTTAAATCTCAATTTTTACACATCTGCTTCACAGTGGCCTCAGCAAGTAAATCTTGTGGATGACATCCCCCGCAGATTCCATATCTAATGCGAGCAGGCCAAAAAAAAAACAAGGCGAGCAAAAAAAACAAGGTTCCTACATTTTATAATTTTGACTCATTCATTGTACAAATGGTTTTTATTCCGTGGGAACATCACATATACACAGCCAGCATCACATATCACTGCATCAAAGTAGGAAACAAAACATTAAATCGAAGCCTTTTTATGGGTTCACCACACCACGAAGTGGTGTGGTGAAACCATATTGCTTTTTCTGATGTTTCTTCTTCTCCTCCTCCTCCTCCTCCTTCTCCTCCTGCCATATCTTTAAATGGATTCAGCTTCTTCATTTTAGGGCCTAAGGTCCTGAAATTTGGTATGGAGGTACAGTGGGCAAATACCCCTAGGCG